AACCCCCCTGCCATTGGCAGAGACATCTTCCACTACACCAGGTTGCTCAAAGCCCCATCCAACCTGGCCCTGAGCACTTTCAGGGATAGAGCATCCACAGCTTCTCTGGGCAACTTGTTCCAATACCTCACCACCCTCATCGTGAAGAATTTCTTTCATTTATCTAATATAAATCTGTCCTCTTTCAGTTTTTCATCATCCCTTGTCCTACCACTACATACTTTGTAAAAAGTCCCTCTCCAGCTTTCTTGTACGCCCCCTTCAGGTACTAGAAGGCTGCTGTAAGGTCTCCCTGGGGCCTTCTCTTCTTCAGGCTGAACAACCCCAACTCTCTCAGCCTGTCTTCATAGGAGGGGTGCTCCAGCCCTCTGATCATCTTCACGGCCCTCCTCTGGACTTGCTGCAACAGGTCCATGTTGTCTTACGTTGGGGACCCCAGAGCTGGACACAGTACTCCAGGTGGGTCTCACAAGAGTGGAGTAAAGGGGCAGAATCCCCTCCCTCAACCTGCTGGCCACACTTTTGATGCAGCCCAGGATACGGTTGGCTTTCTGGGCTGCAAGTGCACATTGCTGGCTCATGTCCAGCTTTCATCCACCAGTAACCCCAAGTCCTTCTCTGCAGGGTTGCTCTCAATCCATTCTCCGCCCAGCCTATATTTGTGCTTGGGATTGTCCCAACCCATGTGCAGTACCTTGCACTTGGCCTTGTTGAACTTCGAGAGGTGGGCCCATGCGAACCTCATAAGCCTGTCAAGGTCCATCTCGATGGCATCCCTTCCCTCCAGTGTGTTGATCATGCCACACAGCTTGGTGTCATCAGCAAACTTGCTGAGGGTGCACTCAGTCCCACTGCCCATGTTGCTGACAAAGATGTTAAACAGCACTAGTTGCAACACCAACCCCTGAGGAATGCCACTCCGTATTAGCAGCATTATTCCATTTTAGAGATTTGATTAAAAGCTGCTGCATCAAACATTTGCCCAACTATAGACTCTAATAGTACTGACAGAGAGGAACTGACATTTTAAATTCCAGAACTAGAGTCCTTAAGCTCCGCACAGCAGGAACAACAAATGGGGAGGACTATCAACTTCTGTTTTCTATCCTTGGACTCTGCAAGCAGTTGTGCAACTCACCAAAGAGGTAGGTGGGATCTAATTTTTTTCCTCCATTGCATTTATAATGAACTGAATTCAAGTCCAAGCTTTTATAAGCCACACAGAGTTCCCAGTTAGTGCAGCCACTGGAAATGTAAGTAGTAATACACTACAGTTACTACTCAACTATCTTGTAGTGCATACTCCAACTTTATTCCCTGAAATTCTTGAAAAGGCACATTTAAAGCATCATGCTTAATGTTTCAAAAGCTTTTGAATTTCATAACATCTCTTTCATACTACCATTTGAAGTTTATGCAAAACCAGGTTTTTTAATGCTTTGAAAAACACCTAGCAACTCTATTTAAGCAGTTGTTGCCATTACAATAGCAACTTATGCCAAAAGCAAAGACTGTTTGAACACCATGTCATGGTACAAATGCAAGGACACTACACAAAAGCATGTAATAGAGAGCACATATATCCAACATTCAATAAAGATTGGAAAAGCTTGGCTCTAGACCCACTAGGTTCTAGCAGTCATGCAGAAATGCAGAAAAGAATAAAAAGTGAATCTTGACCATTAGGTACTTATTTAATCATAAAACCAGTTTTTATAATAATACACATATGTATGCAGACTTATTACTTAACCCTTATCTTGCCAGTTTTTCAAATGTGCAGTTACAAAAATTGAACTGTGTGATTATTTTTCCTATTGGTACTGAATACTGAAAAGGAAAAGTTGTATTAAAAAAAACAGTAGATATAATATTATTATTGTTGTTTGTATTAGCAAAAGGATTAATACTGGTTGATAGGGTACAAATGAAACTCAGATTTGGATGGTTAGATACAGCAATTAGACAATTACCTTTGCACGTTTTGATTAGAAACACTCAAAATTAACCTAGATTATTAACACACATGTATGATTTTGACTAGGGTTGAATAATTTCTTAATATTGCATTTTTGTCCAAATAATGACATTTTTTCTGAATTCTGAACAAAGCTGAAAACTGAATTAGGACAACTCTTAAAACTTGTTAATCAGATTAATTCTGCCCTTTTTTTAATAATCTTTTATATTATACTGTGGTACTCTTCTCCATTCTAAAATTCAATTAGAATTAAACAACTTTGATTAGCTTTCTGCAACATCCATGAGTCCACCGACAGCCAAAGATTAAATCAAGTTACTTTGAACCAAACACAATCCTTGTTTTGCAACACAATGCTCTCCAGACTTTCTATACATAGCATTATCTTTGCAATGCAGTGATTGGTCATCTGGCTGTTTAACTGTGCTGTTGCCAGGCTGCAGAACTAACTATTTTCAGGAAGATCCAAGCCCTCACTAACAAACTTTCTCTAGTAATCTAGAAAATAATCAAATGGCAAAAATATAGGGACTCTTAATCTACATCAAACCATACAAAGAGGATTCAAACTAGCTTAGAATTCATTTAGCTAAGGACACCACTTTGGAATCACATGAAGTAATTAATGAAAGCATTGCGAAGAGGGTTATAGTAACAGTGTGTTAGGTGATTATCTTTTAGGGTGCTCTATTTAAGGCTATACTAACCTTCCCTTGGGAGAAGTACTATTTTTAAAAAATATGTGTGTATATATGCAGTCTCTAGAAACACACACACACTTTAAATACATGGTTTAAAACACCACTAACTCCAATGACAATGTGTGCTAAATAAGCTGTTGTCTTCTACATGTTTAGATTGGATATTAGGAAAAACTTCTTCACAGAAAGAGTAGTCAGGCAATGGAACAGGCTGCCCAGAGAGGTGGTGGAGTCACCATCCCTGGAGGCGTTCAAGAAACAGGTAGATGTGGCACTTTGGGACATGGTTTAGTAGGCATGGTGGTGTTGGGTTGATGGTTGGACTGGATGATCTTAAAGGTCTTTTCCAACTTAAACAATTCTATGATTCTATGTTCTACATTCATCATACTTGAAAATATTATTCTAACCTAACAAAACACTAGCAAGAGTAATGGATGCACAGAGATTAATATCTGGGGTTTATTTTTATTACACTCTACCTTTAAAACTTGAACTTGACCTTCAGTAGTTATGTCCTTCAAAAGTTCACAAAATGACTGGCATAAGTCAGCAGCATACATCTGAAATTAAATGGAAAAGAAGGTATTATGCAAACACATTTTATATCTATGTGTATATCTCAAAACACAACACATTAGGGATTACACATGTCCAAAGACCCAGCTTCTCTTCAGAGATCATATTTGCTGAAACGCTCATCTTTCCTGAACTAATTAAAGTCCAATCTAATAATTTTCTTGTTTCTTTAACATTGCAGGTTTTTTTAAACAATCTCAATGGATTTGCTAATGAAGAAGGTGTGAGAACAAGGCATAACCTCTCCAGTTCAATTCTTGCTAGAATTTATGACCACAATTTTAATCTGGTAAGATAATTAAGAGTAAGTCTTACTACCCCACACAGAAGCTTTTCAGGTACAAAAGTACTAAATCAATCCACAAAACACTCAAATCTGATTTGATTGAGTGTCCACCGTGTGCCATTAAGAACTAACATTAGAACAATATGCTTGTATACACATAAACGAGTAAGAATATAAATGTTTGTGTGTACAATATTTTCCAACACGAGAGAAAAAGTAGTTTGCCAGTAGGGAATTAAGGTGCTAACGTGAATCTTTATATAATGGTAACATACCTGTAAAAATTCAGATGATGATAAGAAAATATAAGCATTGATGATCTTAAAGCAATTTTTGAGATTTTCTGAACTCAGCTCTGGAAAAAAAGAAATCACAATTCAGAACATTATCACCAAACTGAAGTACAACTAAAATGATTCACTTCTAAAAGTCTTTATCCTCACACAGCTTTTAAGTGCCAGATGCCTACAAACAGAAAAAAGTTATCTTAGGTTCAGTACCATTCAGGTTCTGCCTCCCTGCCAGAGACAATAACAATAGAGGGATGATAGCAGCTCTCACGTTCTCAAATGGAAGCACTAGAAATCCTATGACCTCAAAAGCCAATGTTAATAAAAAAAGTCAAGTTTTGAATGTGGTAGTGGGCTAAGACGACATTGAAGATGGAACAAATGAAACACATACTTAAGACACCTGCAATTACTGATACATGATCTCTCACATTTGAGTCAGTAAATGCCAAGTAGAAAGAGTGAAATAAAGATTGCAGCTCTGCTCTTCTGACCCAGGTGGCACATCAAATGACATTGAGCTTTTGGACTGAAACACACTGAGCTTTAAGGCCATACCTTGAGTATTTCAGTAAGGAAAGCATATCCATTTAAGAGACAGATACACACAGGAGATGGTATACAGCAGCAGTTTGAAGAGAGAAAAGAGACATGTCCTCAGGCACTACCTGTAAGACCGTTTTTAAAAAAAATCACCCCAGGACATCTATAAACACAATTTATAGCAAAATACAGGTTTCAGAGATTCACATGCAGATTGATACTAGTGCAAAAAGCCAACAGACCTCATTGTCTGAAAACAAAAGACCAAAAAAACCTCAAAGGGCTTGCTAAATTTTCTTAAAAACAGTTTGGGAGACAGACTATTCTTGGTAAAGTAAGTGGACTTCTGCTCCACCACCTTTAATTAATATTCTGATAAAATCATCATGGAGACCCAACAGGAAAATACTTTTAAGTTTTAAATAAAGTTCCTTACCAGATTAAACTAGCACCAGCAGCTGGCTAAGACCTGGTATGTCTTCCATGGCTTATATGAACACAGCCTGTATGAAAGTGTGGCTTACACTTAGTGATGCTTATGTAGAAAAGCTTCCACAAAAAATATCACTTGACAGAAACTATGCTGGTTTTCCACTATAACATCTGAAAAGTCTTTGGGACTTTTAGCAGTATCTGTTCTTTTCCCTCCCATCAGAAAGAACATTAATGCTCCTGTTATCTGACATGGCCATTGGACAGCTTTGAATGCATAACTATTTTCGTATCTCAGGGCTTGGACAGGTCATGTCTTGTTATCACTTATTTTGAATACTTGTATATCTTGAAGAGATTATTCTTCACCTATCCATCCAATATCCTCATCAAAGATTACAATACATCTATAAATCAGCTTTATTAGCATATTACTGGTGTTACACATTTCTTGAAGTTACTGCATTCTCCTTAGAGGTCTGCAGTTTTTTTTTTTTCTTTCTTACTGGATATAGCCATACTTTCAGTTTCAGTAGACAAATTGTAAAGAAATGGCCATATAAACATGAAGTGCTGCCAAGCTTTCCATCACTTTCCATTCTGTGATTCTGTGATAACTGATACAAAGGTAATAAAGTATGAATAGCAAAATTGCAAGAAATAAGTTATTTCAGGTCAGAAGGAAAAATCAGGTAAGGCAGATGTTGTGGAAATGACAGAGTTTCAGTCACTCATCTGTGCTTAAAGCTCGATGTTTAGTAAAAGCATTTTTGTAGAAAGATTTCACCTTCAACCGATTACATTTAAAAAACAATTATGCATCAATACTCTTGCCAGGTTTTCCTCAATCAAACATATCTTTTTCTGAATTAATGTGCTCCTCTGGGTTTTGTCTGGGACCAGAGGAATTATACCAATTCCAGCAACCTGCTTTTTGCCATTACCTTTACAAGTACAGCACAGGCACATTAAACCTGGTGCTTCCTGAAACAGGTGTATCTTGACTTTGACCGTATTCCCAACCTGAAATTGTACCAGATTCAGCTGTTATTTTAAGCAGTCTCCGTGCAGAAATGCATCCATCCTCAGAGAATTAATGTATTCCTCCATTCCACATTATTAATCCATCTCTCATTGCAGCAGATTGAAAGAACCTCTGCAACCCCTCTATAGGGCAATCATGCTTCAACAGAATTTAAACATTAGCAGCAGTGCTGATATGAAAACCAAATACGACAATTGTGCTGTGACAGATTACTGAACAGCAGTGATAGCACCACAACCTTTGAAGGAAGGTCAGTTATGCAAGTGAAATCAAGCCTTCATATCAAATGCAACATTCTACTCCTCTAAGATTAAAAGACAGTATTTATTACTTTAAAAGGCAAATCTAATTGATTTGTACAACTCCTCTGACATCCAGTTCCAACAGCAGTAGTATCCTGAAATGGATATGAAAAGCGCTTTTCATAAGAATTGAAAAGTCAAAAACATTTCTGTATTTTTCCCCTTTCAGTTGACTGTTAAAGAGACACCACTGCACTGACATATACCTAGGGTGACATATGCCACAGGCCTATGACATGGCCATGACAAAGACACGTCCAAATAATGAAAAACCTAGTAAGAATGAACGAATCACTAAAAAAATAAAATCATTAATTAAATATCAAACCAACTTTTATGCATCGTACATTGGATGCAACAGGTAAGCATGTTTTAAAAAAATCTCCTAAAAGATGCAGAAGCAATGGCAAGAAATTACTGCTCTAGGTTGTAAATTTAAGTTAGGAATGAAAATCAAAGAACGCTGAAGGTATATTCTTGTCAATAAGACAGTCGGCTCTGGCAGAGAAAGCATGAGAGGCGCCAGCATAGGGACCTGCAAAGTTCAGGTTTTTAAGCTATTACTGGTGGGCCAGGAAGCAATGATAGGCAAGCAAGTGCTTGTGCAGTACATAGTCTTGGAAAGCATCTTAAGCACATTTAAAAAAAACCTGTGCAACAGATGATATAATAATTTGCAGTCATCTAAACATGCATTCACCAACAGGAAAAAAAGCAACACCTTTCTCTTAAGTGATATCCACAGCACACTTCAAAAACTACCAGACATAATTTGCGCACAGTGTATCTCCCTTAGTTTTGTATCACTTTACTAAAGAAAATGTACTGTTGTAACAGAAATCATAAATCAAGGTTTGTACTTTGACGGTTAAGCTAAACTCCCAAATCCAATGGGAAACATGAGATGCTCAAAGAGCTGTTAAGGGTCCTGAATAAGAACTGGCAATCTATCACTGCACACCTGCTGAATTTTCTGAAAAAATACTGTGTACAGTCACAGTCACGTCCCACAGAACCTCACCCAAAGACAGTTAATGCAAAGTAAAAGCTACAACACAATGAATAACCAACAACCTGAATGATACACAATCCAGCCTATTGTCTGTACCTCCTTAAACATAACCAAAGTGTCTACTTTTACAGAAATGGTTATCAATATTATTTTCCACAGTCCCTTTGGGTCTGAGTTATCAAAGCTGCACTGTATCTATTTACATACACTGTTCAATTCCCACAAAAGTTTGTCCCCTATTATTGTATATGAATATCTCTAAGTAATATGCAGGACTTAAATATGCTATAATCTGGCCGTGAAGATGATAAAACGTCTTCTCTCCCTCTCTGATTTGGTAACTTCTTGCCACATCTGTTTCCTTCTCTTCAGCAGGACAGGGTCTGCTATATACTTCTAACATCCAAAAGTCTCCTGTATGAACTTCTCTCCCTCCCTTCCAGCTCTTCTAGTTCAATCATGTTGACCTCTAATAGGACACTTTTTCTGAAGGACTTAAATGGTGATGGAGCAGTTAAACACATCAGAAAAATAGTTACATTACCTGTATATTAGAGAAATTCCATTCACTAAGAATAAATTCAGAAACTGAAGGTCAGGAGTTTCATATTCCTTACACTGTATTTTCAACAAAATAATTTTCTGGAGCACCTTGTTGCTAGTTCTCCACCCTGCTCCGGAAGACATAAGCAAGGCAGTCACCTACTCAGAACTCCCCTTTACCAGATCCGCTCTTTGGCTTCCACTTTGATAATCTAAGACTGAATTGAGAACCAGTCTCGGAGAGATTTTCTGTTGTGCCTTAGAAAGTTAAGGCACACAAGACTTTGCAATTTTGAAACTTTAAATTTGAAGATCTCAAAATTTGAATGGATTTCTGCATTTGTCCAACTGAAAACAGCAGACTTCCAGTTAAAACACCTTGTCCTGACAGCTATGTCACCTAGGTGAGAAGGATAGGAAATGTTTGTTCTTAAGTACTGGAAGTTTCAGGTGAATACTGCCACTTGTATACTGGAGAAACTGTACTAAAGAACTAAGACTGAACAGTTATTTAATTAACTGGCACAGCTGATCATCATTGATCAATACATTTTCTTCTGCAAAGGGCTGCAGCTTAAAACTGTGCTGCTGCACTGGATTTAAGTGAAGTATCCCTTCTTCAGGTATATTGAATGAATGAAGTAGCTGCCTGAGGGGTACTGGATGGCAGTATTGCACTGTTCCTCTAACTACCAAGTTTTAAAATAAGGTTAGTACTAACCCAAGACTCAAGCGCTACTTCAACATCACAGTGCCATGGCTATGTCATGTGGAGGCTGTCCAGCTAGATTCTCCTGATGTAAACAGAACAGACTTGCAGGCAAAGAGCATACCAGAATGGTTTCTACTTCCTGGCAAAACGTGCAACATTTTGGCCTACAGCAGTCAAAATTTTTGACTGACATGACACTCGGAAAATAAGTTTCTCAGAAAAATGCTCAGGAAGTAGTACCAGAAATCTCTTGGAGGAAATCAGTCTGATTACACATCTGCTGCTGAGTTTTTGCCACTCACACCCCATCCCTGATTAAAAAAAAAAAAAAAAAAAAATCAATTTGACATAAGTGTGTTTGAAGCCTCACCTTAAGGAAAGCCTACCAAGCTTAACTGTACTACTTGCTCTACCAGCATCACACAACAGCTTTCATTTTTCAGAAGGAACATTCTCTTGAGGATGTATTTTTTCCAAAGAAGAACATCACTATTCTCCTGGGTTCATTCATAAAATAAGGAAATTGTTACAAGAGTAGAATATTCCTGAATACGTCCACCTTTTATTAGAAGAGTATGCCAAGGTTTCCATTTGTACTCATCTCCACCCTGGAAAGTATTGCACAAGGACGAGGGAAGACAGCATGGGGAGGAAACGGTAGCAAATGTAAACAACCCACAAATACAGAGTATTTCTGAACTTAAGCAGATCGGCAGCGTGATGCAACTATGAAAATCACAACCAATTGTAGAGTGCAAGCTTCCTGTAGCAGATACTATCTACTACTAATACAGAACAAGAAGGAGGATGGGTAGGTGTGTAGATATGAAGACAAATAATGAACTATTCGGCAGCTAGAGAACCTAAGAGGTAGCTCTGGAGTTAAATACTAAAACCACTACAAAACGCTACTTCCCTGAACAGCTTTGTCATTAGAGATCTAGTATACAAAGAGAAATAAAAGAAGGTGTCATCTTGCACCTACCCACCATGATGTAACTTTCTACTGACCTTCAGTCAGAATAAAATATTAAGTGTTGAAAACAACAAGCAATTAAAAAGCTAGCTTCTGTAATTTTATAAACACATTCCTCTAAAAAAAAAACCCATTTGCTGTATCAACTCCACAACCTACAAAAGCACAGCTAAAGATTTAAAGACATATTTACATAATAAAATTAAACCACAACATTTTTATACTCCCTTTAATTACAAAGCAAATGCATACCCAATATCAGTATTTCCTAAGCACTGAATCTTAATCCTCATTAATAAGTTTTTATTTTGTCAACAACTCAGGCAAAACTACTGCTTTTAGTTTCAGTGCTGCTTGACCAATATGCTTATAGACATACTTACGCATTTTGAAAACATCCTACATAGTTATTAACTGAATAATGGAAAAGCCAGTAAGGGAAACTTCAATTCTTCAGACTAGAAATCATCATTCTGGTTGTAAGCAGAACAGACAAGTAGTCCATATAATCAGTATCACTAAAACTCAGCACATTTGGTGTTAAATTTCAGGAACTTCTTTAAAAAACCCTCTGAAATGATAAACTGTAACTTGTCTTATCTTTTGGGTACAAAGCAGCTTCAATTTATGAAAAAAGAGAACAAGGTTAAGTAGATAATAAATATTAAAAATGGGAAAGTCAAACAATAAAAACCCATTCTTCATTTTTTAATAGTTACAATTTTGCAAGCTCCCTGAGTTCTTGTAGCCACAGCAGCATTATTTAATGCACGAACAACACAAGCAGCAGGAAAAAACCTCAGAAATTTTATTAGTAAAAGACTTACCAAGAAGGGCAGACATGTTCTGAAATATTCTCAGGAGCTCAGGTGTAAGACATGGACTATTCTCCAATGTCACTAACCTAAGAATAGTGAAGCAAAATATTTTAGATGATCTACGAATTACATTGACCAATCATTCTGACAGATGTAAAACATCTTCTAACAATTACTTGAAGCATATTTCAACTGCAGCAGCAGTCCTTACAATACACCCATCAGTATAGGCAAGGGCCTTGCTAAGGTAGGAAAATAAAGAAAAACATGCTACTGTCTTTATAAAAAGACAACATAACCTCCAAAATGCAGCAGTGAGAATGTCTAAGTACCCAACTTGGGAACTCAGAGAAGGCGGGTAGAGAGGAATAGTCATGGTGTAAGGACAACGTGTGTGGTGCTCTGCACCTCAGAGGAGCAGCTGTGGTGGCAGTCAGCTCAAACCTTTACTTTTTTTTTTTTTTTGACATCTGAAATGATGCATGGATTACCATACATAAAAACGTAACTATATGCTCAGCATTGTTTGTATCAATTCAAAATTCCTAAGGTTTGAGAACAGTAGCTATAAATTAAATTCATAAAGCCACAGCAACACATTCCAGTTTGTTCCTAGATCTTAGATGTGGGATGACTGTATTTAAATAACACACTGATTCTGTAAAGTATCTTAGCTGTTCTCCTGCTCTTGGTTCAAGAAGCCATTAGTCCCAACTGTGTCTGCCACCTTCAACCAGATTCATCTGATGCACTAGGATGTCTTAAAATACCATTCTTCTGCATAGGCATCAGCATATCAACCTGAAGATCAGTAAAACTTCTGAACTGATACATTAAAAAGGTCCCTGACTTAAATTTTGTGAAGAACTTGCACTTCAACTTGCTGCCCCACCACCAACAGAATTGTAAATCTTAGTTTTGCTGCACATAGAACAGATCATTTGTAGATTAAGTATTTCTAATTCAAATGCCCATCTACAATTTAGAACAAAATAATCCCTCACTATTTCAAGACAAACTCAATATTCCTATTCCGCAGGAAAGGGATGTGCTGAATTCAGTTCAGGTAACAGTCTCCTCCTAACACGTCAGCTGCACCAGAAACAAATTATGCTCATGGCAAACTGATCACAGTGCCACTTCTTTTTTTATGTTCAGTCACCATATAGCTTGAGACCTGGAAAATAACTTTGACATTTCATCCTTGTAAACTCACCATCTCTTCCAGAAGCCAGCTCTGAGAATCATTGGGTCACTGTGCTCCCAAGTCAAGCACATCAAATTATTAGTTTAGCATGCATATTACAGTGAGTCTAGACTTTTTGTCTTGCTGTTCATTATCACAACAGAACTGTATCTCGCTATCAACTGCCTGAAAATGGATTACCTATTCAGTTATTTTTAACAGTTTCTTTTATTAACTTCCTAACCTCATCTCTTCTGAGAAAAGGTATGATATAGATGATGTGAAGGTAAGATAACAACAACATATAAATTCTTAATACCGTCCAAGTTTTTTAATTTTTTTTTTTCTTCTGGGGATACAAAAGTAACATTTTAAAAATTAGAAACTGATAAAGAACATTCTTACCACAACTCCAAACCATCTTCCAGAAGATACACATGTGGAGGCTGAGAAACATCCGTACTTAGCTGAATAACTGGGAGCAGAAAAGGATAGAGATTTTTGCTGTCTGCTCCCAGTCCCTATAAAAGTAAACAAAATACGTAAAATTCTTCAAAAATCCTCAAGTCAAGCATTTCAAGAATAGCCTTGAAAAAAAATCCATGATGCTGTTCTATTCACATGCTGTAAACGTGCGTTCATGAAATCAAAGGTTGAACTTGCATCCATTTCATACAACAGAATAGTTTGGTACTCCCGAGCTTTCTCTCAACATGTCTTGAGAAAATTACATAAGTTTTCTGAAAACAAGCAGCTTATCAATGGTCTGCAAGAAAAAATTATAAACAATACACATGCCTAAAAACATTCACTGGTCGTTCTCTTTCTGGGAAAAGTCACAGCTCTAATAAATACTAAATGACCAAATGCTGAATAAAATGTTTTAAAGGTCAAGAAAACAACTACTCTTTGGACCCTACCACATACTAAATCTTTCGACATATTCTACGAATCAGGAGAAGGGGTTGTTTTCATTGCCACACAAAGATTCCCAGACTGATGACAGTCATTTATTTTTTAAATGATCCATGAGCCATACACAAAGGTGTCTTCCCAAGAATGCAGAGTAAAGAATTTTTTCAGCAATCATTTAACAAGAAAACAGAATTTTTAAAAATAAGATAAAGATGACTAGTGTCAAAACTAATCATAAATTAAAATTAATCCTAAAAGGAATGGAATTCTTAAAATTGGGAACTACTGCCTATTTTATAATATTACTACTTAAGAGAACTGAGGCTAGTTGAATGCTGCTTTTGCATAATTTGTATATTTGGAAACTGTTAAGTTTAAAATTACTTGATGTTTCTAAGTTAAGGCTTCTTTGTGGACCTATTTATTTTACAAAACTTGCCTTAAAAAATGAATCTTCCATAAATTTGTCTAATCTTACTGTGTCCACCTATACTTTTGGCCTCCACAGGCGCCAGTAACAGGAAGTTCCACAATTTGTTCATTGTGAAAATGTATTTTCTCTTTGTTTGAATTAACTCCACTTTTAAAAGAACCCTATTTTTCCCTTCAGTTGTAAATGTCTAGTCATTCCCTTTCCACTTTCTCTCTACTGTTAACCTCTGTAGTATTATCCTCTTAGTCATGCGTTTCCACAAGTTCAAGACTGCCTACATATTCATTCTGTTCCTGGATGGACACTGCCCTACATCCTAGGAGCACTTCTTCTCTTGATCTTTACTAGTCCTACTATATCTTTTTTGAGATGTAGTAGGGGTTGGAGAAGGTGGGATGGCATACAATCCATATTAAAGAAGTGCTTAATAGCATGGATTCTTCAGCTAATATAACCATGTATTTTTTTTTTTATTTAACAGTGTTTTCTCAGGAACATACAACCTTTTATTTGCATTTTTACTGCCAACAACACAGGTATGTCTAGATATTTCAAGTTCAAGGATTATTTAATTACACAAAGATCTTTTCCTTCACTGAGAAGAAATTCAGTTAATTTTAATGATCATCTCTGGATGAAGCAAGCAGCTAATAGTTTCTATAGACTTTTAAAATTTTCTGCCAAGGTATTACAGTAAGCCTCCAGAGGAATTAGGGAATTTATTGTACATGTATAGAAAAACAGGGAAAAGATGCAAGTTACCATCAAGAACAAAAACCACCCCAGCAGCTCATCTTGAGTGCCATCACGTGGCATGTACAGGACAGCCAGGTGATCAGGCCCAGGCAGCATGCGTTTATCAAAGGCAGGCCCTGCTTGTCTAACCTGATCGCCTTCTATGACAAAGTGACACACATAGTGCATGAGGGAAAGGCTGTGGATGTTGTCTACCTAGACGTTAGTAAAGCCTTTGACACTATTTCCCACAGCATTCTCCTGGAGAAACTGGCTGCTCATGGCTTGGACCAGTGTATGCTTTGCTGGGTAAAAGACTGGCTGGATGGCCAGGCTCAAAGAGTTGTGGTGAATGGAGTTAAATCCAGTTGGCAGCCGGTCACGAGTGGTGTTCCCCATGGCTCAGCACTGGGGCCAGCCTTGTTTAATATCTTTATCAGTGATCTGGATGAGAGGATGGAGTGCACCCTCAATAAGTTTGCAGACGACACCAAGTTGGACGGGAATGTTGATCTGCTTGAGGGTAGGAAGGACCTGCAGAGGGATCTAGGCAGGCTGGATCAATGGGCTGAGGCCAATTGTATGAGATTTAATGAGGCCAAGTGTCAGGTCCTGCAATGCTACAGCCGATGCCACAGGCTTGGGGGAGAGTGGCTGGAAAGCTGCCCAGTGGAAAAGAACCTGGGGGTGTTGGTCAACAGCCAGCTGAATGAGACAGCAGTGTGCCCAGGTAGCCAAGAAGGCCAACAGTGTCCTGGCTTGTATCAGGAATAGTGTGGCCAGCAGGAGCAAGGAAGTGATTGTCCCCCTGTACTTGGCACTGGTGAGGCCACACCTCGTATTCAGTTTTGGGACCCTCACTTCAAGACAGACACTGAGGTGCTGGAGCATATCCAAAGAGTGGCAACGAAGCTGGTGAAGGGTCTAGAGAACAAGTATTATGAGGAGCAGCTGAGGGAACTGGGGTTGTTTAGCCTGCAGAAAAGGAGGCTCAGGGGAGACCTTATTGTTATACAAAAAAAAAATCTACAAAAATCTACAGAAAAAAAAATGGTAGAAGAATCAGTATGTTCACCCCTATTCTCAGTATTACTATCACTTATCACACTTAAAAGCCACAGTCACGAACAAAGGTAAAGCTGATATAATCCCTGGCTCACAGACGTTTTAATAGTTCTGACCATTCAGTTTTAAAACGGACATTAAAAAGAGGAGATATTCAAGCTATAGCTAAAAAGAAAACTATGAGCACAGCTAAACTCTCAAAAGAAGGAAAAAAAATCAAAGAGATTGAAATACAAATAATGCAATGTGATACAAACTGATTACATAACAAAGCAGGCAGCTCAGAGCTGCTATTATCTCTGTTTCATGTAACATATAAACAAAGCAGAAAAGAACATCAGAAAAGCTAGGAAATTTACGAAGGGATGAAATAAAGTATTTTTTCCCATATGCTATATAAACATGTTGCAGAAATCATTGCAAAAGGACATAACATGTATCAGAGGTTATGCAGTAGAAAGGTAATTGTAAAAATGCTAAAAATAAAAGAGTTGGAATTCTAAATAAACAAGATTACCCACAATTGGTCAATGCCAACAACTTTAAACCTAACAGTTATGACTTAAACAAGAAACATTTGATGCTAATCTGAATTAAAATGCAAATTTAAAGAACAAGCAAATTGAAACTTGTTGTGGTAGCCTGTATCTTGGCCTATGACTTAAAAGTGTCTCATCTTCTCCTCATCCTGGGAGGAGTACAGGGAAATTGCCCAGTTGTGTAGGGAGGAGGTCAGGAAGGTCAAGGCGAGGATGAGGAAGGCCAAGGTGAGGATGGAGCTGCATTTGGCAAGGGATGTAAAGAACAACAAGAAGCCTTCTACAGGTATGTCAGCCAGAAAAGGAAGGTTAAAGAAAGCATACCCCCCTGATGAACAAGAAAGGCGAACTTGTATCAACGGACGAGGAGAAGGCTGAGGTACTCAACTTCTTTAGCTCAGTCTTCACCGGTAACCTCTCCTCACCTCTCCCAAATCGATGGACCAAAAGATGGGGTCCAGGGGGGTAAAGCCCCTCCCACTGTAAGGGAAGATCAGGTTCGAGACCACCTGAAGAACCTCAATGTACAGAAATCTATGGGACCTGATGAGATGCACCCCAGAGTCCTGAGGGAATTGGCTGATGTAGTTGCCAAGGCCTTCTCC